GAGGGTTGCGATCCGTTGCCGGACACGAAAAAGACAAAAAGGAAAAAAAAAAAAAGATGACTGGATAAAGAAAACGTAATATACAGTGGAATACTACTCTGCCATTAAAAACAATGAAATTCTGCCATTTGCAGCAAGATGGATGAACTTGGAGAAAATTATGTTAAGTGAAATAAGTCAGGCACAGAAGGAAAAATACCTCATGTCCTCACTCATAAGTGGGAGCTAAAAGAGAAAGAACGAAGGAAAGAAAGACCACAGTGGTGCGTTGGACTTGCAGAGGGAGAGAGCATACCTAGGGTTGCCAGGTGCGGGTGGGGAGGGTTGGGGAGTAATTGGGTGGGAGACACAGGGAATAATTGCACTTTGTGGTAATGAGCATGTTGATAGTATTGATTTAATCATTACATCTTGGGAACAGGTGGTAACAGTCAGCTTTTGTACCCCATGAATATGCATAATCACTAAAAAAAAAATCATGTCACTTAAAAAACAAAAAAGGGGATTTTACTTCAACAATGGATAATTTATGGTAAGTTCTACAATGATGAATACAGTATGATGACTGTCACTGAATTTATTATCTAGACAACCACCTATTCTTGCTGCTCTTAATCTGGGAGAGAAGCAGGAGTCTGATACCTTGGATAGAAGAAATATTACGTGTTTATTTTCACTAATCTCCAACTGCAACTTAGCATGTCCTTCAATTATGCATATAGGTAACACATCAGAATGTTCTTAGCAGTAATGTGACTCTGTCATCAACATGTCCCCTATCTCATTTTTTCATATCATCACATTTTTATTTCCCATATGATTGTTACATATATCACAAAATATTGTTTACACTCATTACTATGTTATTAGATTTGACAATCATGATTAAAAGGCACAGATATATTAGAAATTCATTTCTTTAATTATTTTAATAACTATTTCATTATAATTAGTTCCCTTTGTCATCTTTTGTGTCTCTGTGTGTGTGTGTGTGTGTGCATTGCAAACATTGTTCTGATAAAGGATGTATAGATATCTCCAGACTCCCAAAAGGGATCAGTGGCACAAAAACGTTTAAGACCCACTGTATTCTGTCCATGCTGCTTATGTAAAACATTTAGACCACACCTGTT